AACCCCATTCTTATTAACAAATGTGATAATAGAAAGAGGTGAGGGATTTTTTAAATTAATCTGAGTCAGGGATTTTCAAATAAGGTTTGACTGAGGAACGTTTGCTCAAACAACATACTACCAAGATATGTAAACAACACACCAGGACAGAGCTGCAGTGCTGAAGGCCGGGTCCCAGCCCCCATCACAGCTGTCGCGCCTCTCCCCCTGAGAACTGCTAAACCACCCATTCTAGTCTAACCCACTGCCCCTGCCATTTTACAAAAGGAAAACCTGAGACTGAGAAAAAAAAAAACGTGACTTGTCCAAGGCCACACAGCTAGTTGCTGGCAGAGGTAAATGAGTTCCTAGGTCTACTCACTCCCAACCCAGTGACCCGTCCACTACACTGCGCTTCCTGACGTGGAGGGGGTGGCCAATGAGGAGTAGATGGCACACGAGAGGAGGAAGACTGCCCTGTCAAATGCACAGAGGGACAGGGCAGGGCAAAGCCACGTGGTGGCTGCTAGCTACATGGGTACTCCAAGACGCCTACTTGACCGGGAAGACCGCATATCCCATCGTCCTGCTGGATCACCCGCCTGCAGTGGTTTATTTGTACAGTCAACAGACATGAACTGAGCACCTGCTATTACATGCTGGGCAGCATGCTGGGTCCAGCAATACAGAAGTGAGCGAGCCACAGTGCCCGTGGCCCAGTACCGAAACCCATTCAGGGCTTCCCAGGATGAGTTTGTCACCAGGCAGACGGGAGAGAAAGGTCACCTCGTTTGGAAACAACAGAAACGTGTTTTCAACAGAGGCAAAAGGTGCTCATTTGCAGTTTAGAAAGACCACCGGGTGGCACTGTGGAAATCCACAGCAGGAAGGGGCTTCTGCGTGGGTTGAACAGAGGGGACGAAGGGCAGGGATGGAAAGCAATGGCGGTTTTCATCAGGAAAATCAGCATGGGCTGTGGGAGCAATAAAGGAGGACAGGGGCGCTCTGCTGGCTCCCATGGTTCCCGGGGAGCTGCTGGAGGCAGAGCCGCCACATGAGATGAAGAACAGTTGAGGAAGGGAAATAAGGAGCCAGCGCTCGCTGGTAGGGGCTCCAGGTGCTGGTGGGTCCTCCGAGTGGAGATGTCCGGCAGGGAGATGGGTGGAGGGTTCTGATGGTATACACAGCACAGGACTGGGGGCATGCACTGCCTGTCTCCGCTGTGGGTACAGAGCTTGTTTTAGCCCTCAGCTCTGAGGGCCTTTAATAAATAGAGTTTACTGAACTTGCGTATTAGATGTTTTCTTTTTCCCTAAATTATCTAGTAGAATCCAAACCCTATCAATTTTTACCACAAGTTAGCTGGGGAATGCAGCCACACCCCAGAGAAACTGGCTTCCTCTGAATTAAGAAGTACATTTATTTTAAGTGATAATAAAAATACATGACATTGAGATGTATAGAGCATCTGTCCAGTTTAGCTTTGTCCCATTCTTTTATGGAGTAAAATCATCACCATCCTGCCACCGAGAAAAGTAAGATACAAAGAAGGGAAAGGTACAGTTGCCTAAGCCAGGAACCCTATACTTACTCAGAATTGAATTAGGAACACAGGTAGTCATTCAATCAACATCCACCAAGTAACCCGTGGCGCTGACACAGACACAGCACTCACACCAAGGCGAATATTACAAGAGAAGTCTAAGAAACAGCACACCAACCCCAATCATTCGATTGGCTGGAAAAGCAAATACAAAAAGAATGTAAGGACATTTGTGACAAATGTCAATAGAAATTAAATGTCACAAAAGTTCAGAGGTAGGAGGTAGGAAGTTTAACCAAAGTGATGAGGAAAGGTTCCATGAAGAAGAGGTGCCATGTAAACATACTATAAAACAGGGGTGGGAACACCTGGCCTGCAGGCTGTATCAGGCGAGAAATCATTTGGTCTGGCCCTGCCCCGGCAACTGCAGGCGGGGACTCGAAATTCAATAAATCTAGGAGCTTTTTTTTCATAGCAACATAAATTTATATTAAGTGAATCATAATAATAATGTAAATTTTGAGGGACAAGCAAGGACATTACAGGATAGATAGGACACGTACAAGTACACGACGGCTCCCCGAGACCTGTCTGCCTGTATTGCGGTGACTCAGAGGACAGGCAGTACCAGGGCTAGGAGTGTACACATTGCAAAAGTGTAAACACACTGTGGTCAAACTACGGTGACCTGGTGATGGTGAGACGAGATGCAATGAGATGATCCTCATGACATTGATGACCTTGCCTCCTATGATTGACGACAATGTTGTTGACTTCTTTGTCGACACAGACGGTAACTTCAATCCAACCTTTATCCACACGTCTATGATCAATAATCCTCACAAAAACTGAATCTCAGATGAAGATTAAGGAAATTATAGTACACAGAAAAGACCTCAAGTGTCAATGATATGAATGCTGGATGTGTTCCAAATCCAAGATGCAGGATTAGAACAGCAATCACACAAAATAATCGCATTGCTGGCAACACACACTCTGGATAGTGGTGTGACATCCTACAAATGGCGACTACAAAGAAAAGTTGATGCAGACTGTCTATCTTTCCAAGAGAAATGGACAAATGATTATTTTTCTGTTGAAGTCAAAGACAAACCTGTGTGCCCAGTTTGTGGCAATGTGTTAGCAGTAATGAAAAAGCCAATCTTGAGCATCATTACAGCTCAAAACATGACAAACTCGCCCTGGCCGGTTGGCTCAGTGGTTGGAGCATCGGCCTGTAGACCAGGAAGTCCCAGGTTCAAGTCTGGCCAAGGGCACGTACCTCAGTTGCAGTTCGTCCCTGGCCCCAGTTGCAATTGTGCAAGTGGCCACCAATCGATGTGTCTCTCTCACATCAATGTTTCTCTCTCGCTCTCTCTCCCTCCCACTTTGTCTGAAAATAAATGTAAAAACATCCTCGGATGAGGATTTAAAAAAAAAAAAAAAGCTAAACTCAAGGAATTGGGAGGCCAAAGGAATTTGGATAAAATCAATGCTCTTCAGTGAAGTTTGGAATCACTACAAGCCGCTTTCACTAGGCCTCGTTGTGACAGAGACAACGGACAATGTTATTCAGACGAGGTATGTAGTGAGCAAGCTAATCGCAAAGAAGCTGCGGCCTCATGAGGAGGGAGGGTTTGTGAAAGAGTGCGTGGTGGCTGCTGGGGAGTGGTTAGCAACAGACAAAGCAAAATTGTTTCAGTGTTAGTTTGTCTCAGATCGGATTACGGACTTAGCACAAGATATTGAAAAAACACTGAAGGATTCCGTGGAGATTTCCAATTTTTCTCCCTGGCTTGTGACAAGACAACAGGCGTAAATACTGCCCGACTGGCCAATTTCATTCGTGGGAAAACTGCAGAGTTTGACATGTGAGAACTGCTGTCACTGGAAGCCATGCACGGCACTACAAGAGGTGAGGACTTGTTTGACCAATGTAAAAACTTGAATTAACATTTGAAAATTTAAGTGGCCTTACTGCAGATGGAGCTCCAGCCACGGCTGGCTCGCAAAAAGGGTTCATTGCATTTGTCAAGAAAGAACTGAATCGTCTCAGTCTTGATCCAAGTGATTTAATTATATGCCACTGCATCATACACCAAGAAAGTCTCTGCACAGTCGTTGCTGCTCAACAATGCGATATCAACAGTAGTGTCATGCATACATTTTGTCAAAAGCAGAGGTTTTAACAGCCACCAGTTGAAGGAGTTACTGAATGATCTTGACTCTAAGTACGATGATCTTGTTTATCAATCACTGTGAAGTGTGGTGGCCAAGTCAAGGGAACATGCTCATGAGGTTTTACAAACTGTGGGATGAAATCAAACAGTTCATGAAGATGAAGGGAAAACCTGTCAGGGAACTCAATGATAGCAAGGGGCTGTGTGATTTAGCATTCATGGTAGACATTACCAAGTACCTCTTGGAGCTGAACGTCAAGCTGCAGGGCCCCAACCAGCTTCTCAGCTCCCTGCTTTCACACATAAAATCATTTGAAGCTAAATGAAGACTGTGGAAAGTGCAACTCGAAAGGAATGACATAGTGTATTTCCCCACTCTGGAAGGACAAAAGCCTTCTGGGACACTTGAATATGCTGGTGAATGTGCAAAACTAATTGAAGCATTTAAGGAAAGATTCAAGGATGTGAAAAGTAAACAAATGGAATTGAACATCTTTGCTACACCATTCAATGCGGAACCAGCTGATGTGCCTACAGAACAAAATCATTCAGTTGCAAAGCGATGATGAGCTGAAAACCAGGTACGACAACCTCCCACTGCTTGAGTTCTATAAACGGTACATAGGCAGTGATGAACTTCCCACTTTGAGGAGACATGCATTGAAATATGCATCTGTGTTCAGAACAACTTACTGCTGTGAGCAGTTCTTTTCAAAACCTACCATCGCAAACAGTCAACTGTGCTCCAGACTGACCAACACAAACCTGGAAAAGCAATTTTGAGTAGCAACATCATCAATACCAGCTAACATCACACACCTCACCACAGAGAAGCAGTTTCAGCCATCACATTAGGGATGAGTTAATTAAATGTTTGACCAAATAGAGCAGGCTAATTTTTAAGTTGATACTTTTGTATGGCCCACGAATGATGTTATAAATATCCAAGTGGTCCTTGGCAGAAAAAAAGTTCCCCACCCCTGATGTAAAAGGAGCTGGGTTTCAACAAGCAAACAGAGGAGGAGGCAGGTCCGGTGGAGGGAGAGACTAGACTGAAGGTGTGGCCTGGGTACCACCGCGTGTTTCAGACTCAGAGAGGAGGAGATTCTGGTTGGAGCAGAGGGTTCACACATAGGAGTGAACTGAGGCAGGACTAGAGGGGGTTTGAGGGGCTTAACCTGTGCTGGACCTCATCGTGGAGGTCATGGGCAATCCTGGAAGGGGCTCTGAGTTAAAAAGGACATAGGGCGTTGGAGAGGTGGGAGTAGGGAGATAACCAGAAAAGGCTGCTGACTCACCATGTCCACGGGAGAAAGAATCGGGCGTGAGGGGTGTGGAGCAGAACAGTGGCGAAGGTAGCAGCTGCGTGAAGAACAGAGCATGTGAGACAGGCCTTGAAGGTGTTTGGGGTGCTGAGGCTGAGGGCAGCGTCAGGAAGGCTGGAAAGGCGGTTCAAAGAGGGAAGTTCCGTTGCCCTAAAATGTAGGGCTTGTGCCCTGCCGGTTCGGCTCAGCAGTTAGAGCGTTGGCCCGCGGACCAATAAATCGCGGGTTTGATTCCAGTCAAGGGCACGTACCTCAGTTTCAGTTTGTCTCTGGCCCTGGTTGGGGTTGTGCGGGAGGCAGCCAGTGGATGTGTCTCTCTCACATTGATGTTTCTCTCTCTCTCCCGCCCTTCCACTCTATATGGAGATAAATGGAAAAATATGGGTGAGGATTAAAAAAAAAAAAGTAAGGCTCGTGTAGGAAGTCAAAGACATGAGGCCAAAGACAGACTGGAGCCCGGCGCTGGGCTATGAGAATTTGGACTTGACCCAGCAGGCAGTGGGGCTCCTGAAGGCGGGTGATAAGAAGACTTACACTCGGCAGCCGTGTGCGAGGAGCACTTGGGAATGATAGCTCCGCTACTGATACTTGGTGATATTCGCAGCATTCAACTGGGTAGTAAGGATGCTCGAGGAAGATCGGAGAGAGCTGCTGGGGCTGGGTGACGGGGTGGAAGGAGCCAGGCAGAAGCACAGCCACCTAAATCGGAACGTGGGCACTGGGAGAAGCAGCAAGAAGGACACCTGGGGCCTGACCTGAAAGTCGGAGTGTCTAAAGGAAGAGGAGGTTTGGAGGTTTCAAACACCCCCCCTCACAGACCTTCCACTTCCATGAACCGGGGACCGTCCCAGCATGTTTGTATTGACAGCATGGAACCTTTCCAAGTGCCAGGATCCACCCCTCTGCCTATTGTTAAAATCCTCTTCATACACATGCTTAAAAGGTACTCTGAGTGTAGTAAGAACTTCTAAAAACATGCTTAAATTGTGAGACATCCTTTTTACAGAAAAAGTAAGTAAAAAATACTGGTGCTGTGTAAAGAATTATTATAAGGTGAACTTCTGTGTAACCTCCCTCAGGTCAGGAAATAAAATGTTAGCAGCACCCCAGAAGCCAGCTGTGTGCGCCTCCCAATTCCCAGCCCCACCCTCACTCTCAGAAGTGACCACGCTCCTGAATTTTGTGACTATCATTTTCTCTCTTTACTTTCTACTTTTTAAAAAACAATTGTTCTTTATTGATTTTAGAGAGAGGAAGGGGGAGAGAGAGAGAGAAACATCGATGAGAGAGAACATCAATTGGCTACCTCTACATGCCCTCCCCTCCGGGGGATTGGGCCCCCAACCTGGGCATGTGCCCTGACTGGGAATCAGAACTGGCGACCTCCTGGTACATGGGTTGATGCTCAACCACTGAGCCACACCATCCTCAAATGGCATAAGCATCATTTTATCAATATAAATAAAATCATACTGTGAGATTAAAATAAGTAATTAAATAAGAAATAATTAAATAATTTTAATTTAAGAAGTAATTAAAGTAAGAAATAAAACAACACTATAGTGTACTATTGGATAGAAGACAGAACAATGTCAGAGAATTGAAAGACTAGAAACACATCCAAGTATGCATCCAAAATAGATAATACCTCTTTCATATCTTTTATCAAAATAAATTTCAAATGGAGTCTTTTAGTGTAAAATTTGAAATAATAAAAGTAAAGAAAGAAATATTTATGTTATCGTGAGGTGGAAAGGCATTTCTAAGCATAAAATCAGAGGCTAAAACCATAAGGACAAGTATCAGATTTGTCCATAAAGAAATAAGCTTCTGTAAATCAATAAACACAATAACCAAAACTAAAAAGAAAATTGTAAACTGGGGAAATTATATGTTACAGAAGACTAGCAAGGCAGCCCTGGCCAGGTGGCTCAGTTGGTTGGAGCACTGTCCCATACACCAGAAGGTTGCGGGTTCAGTTCCTGGTCAAGGCACATGTGGAAGGCAACCGATCAATGTTTCTCTCTCTCTCAAATCAATAAAAACATATCCTCGGATGAGAACTGTGGGAAAAAAAGAATAGCAAGGCACCCTGGCGGTTTTGCTCAGTGGTTAGAGCATCGGCCTGCAAATCAGAGAGTCCCAGGTTTGGTTCCCGCTAAGGGCACATACCTTGATTGCAGTTTGTCCCGGCCCCGACTGGGGTCCTTGTGGGTGGCAACCGATGGATGTGTCTCTCTCACATCGATGTTTCTCTCTCTCTCTCTTCCTCCCTCCTTCCCTCCCACTCTATCTGAGGATAAATACAAAAATGTCAAGTGAGGATAAAAAAGAAAAAAGACTAGCAAGGCAATTATGTCTTTAGTTCTTACAAATCAGCAAGGAAAAAACACACTGCAGTAGAAAAGTGGCTAGGGCATTATATCAGTTTGCTATTGCCACAAATGATTAATAATAAACAACAGCTCCAGAATTTAAAGGCATAAAACAACATTTATTTTCACTTATGACATGCAGGTCAACTAAGGTATTTTGGGCACTGGGCTCAGCTGGGCTTGTCAAACTGCAGGTTGGGTCCAGGTCTGCTTCATATGTTTCTCATCCTTTTGGCCAGCAGGGTGGCCAGGGCATGTTTGTCTCACAGTGATGGCAGAAAACCAACAGAGCACTCCCCCACCAACTCAATATCTTCTAATAAGGGCAAATTTATCATGATATCTCTAAATATTATAATGCTGTTTCTTCTTTTACCCCTGAATTTCAATCCTTATGATAATAAACCTTTGCTTTCTCAGTTGCCAGTTATTCAGAAGGGTCCCCCACCGCTTTTTTTTTTTTTTTTTTTTTTTGCAAATGGGTCAGTCATTGGGAAATAGCATCATCCAATTCAGTTCCTTCACTTTGCAAATGAAATTCTGACATCAGAAAACTTCCCGTCTTGCCTGAGGTCCCTCTATTGTTTATCACTTGAAACTCTGCCCTGGGCTCCTTGTTTCTCAGGAGCTCGGTTATGGGGTTTCCAACCCCTTCTGTTGTTTTCTATGGTAATTCTTCATTTAATGGTAAACATGCTATCCTGACTTTAGTTCGTGTTCCTCTTGGGATGGGGTCATCATCAGGGACAGTTAACAGAATCAAGGTTACCACGGTCACCATGCACTGCAGCTCAGACTCGGTCCTCAAGTCCACGGGTGCACAAATGACATCCAGCAATTGAATGAAAGCCCAAAGTTGGCTCAACACTAGTCAGATTTTAAATAGAACTTGTAAGGAATTAACAAGTATTAGCAAGTTTTGAATGCACTAGAGGTAATTTCTTTCATCATCTAGTATTTACTCAGGGATTTTGGATGAATCTCTGAAGAAAGCAGCCAACATACCATAAATTATATAAAATAATATATAGAACTAATTAAAACTAGAAAGCAGTAGTATACTTTCCTTGCCAGAAAGTTTTAATGGTCCTAAAATTTTTGTACTTTCCGAGTAAATCATGCAAAAAAAAAAAAAATAATAGTAAGATATCTCTACATATCTGTTCCTACGACAGCTAACATCATTGACCTAGATGTGCCACATGTTATGCTAAGAATTTTACATATGTTATCTCATTCACATAATAACTGTATGAGTTGAGTGCCAGGATTACCCTCATTTTATCGATGAGAAAACCAAGGCTTAGAAAGAATTAAAAATTTACCCCCACCCTGGCCGGTTTGGCTCAGCGGTTAGAGCGTTGGCCTGCGGTCCAGAGAGACCCGGGTTTGGTTCCCACTAAGGGCACGCACCTCTGTTGCAGTTTGTTTCCAGCCCTGGTTGGGTTGTGCGGGTAGCAACCACTTGATGTGTCTCTTTCACATTGATGCTTCTCTCTCTCTCTCCCTCCTACTCTATCTGAATAAAATATGGAAAAATGTCCTCGCGTGAGGATTAAAAAAAAAAACTTACCCCCAAACATGCTGCTGGCAAGTGTTGGAGCCAGGATTTGAACTAAGCTTGACCATCGCAATGGTCTTGCTCTCCTAACCATTCTACAATAATGCTTCTGTGGCTAGCTGTCATCTATCATTCATTTATCTATCTAGAATCCTCAAAAAATACACATCAGAATATTGAGTTTTTCCTTTTTTTTTTAATCCTTACCCGAGGACATTTTCCCATTTTTTGTTCAGACAGAGTTGGGGGGAGAGAGAGGAAGAGAGAGAGAGAAACATCGACGTGAAAGGTACACATCAAGTGGCTGCCACCTGCGCGACCCAACCAGGGCCGGGGACAAACTGCAACCAAGGTACGTGCCCTGAGCGGGAACCGAACCCGGGTCTCTCTGGACTACAGGCCGACACTCTAACCGCTGAACCAAACCGGGCAGGGCTTTTTTTATTTTTAATCTTCCTAAAACTTTTTAATAGTTTATATAAAAATAAATTTTAAAATTGTGTATCATAATGATGGGTGCTCTTTTGTGTATATAACTGCTAACTACCGTTAGCACTTTGCCCAAATGTGTAAATACTTGTATTGATGTACATTTAAAATTTATAGAGTGATGTTTGTCAGAGATGAAAAAAAATTAGATTGCATTATCAGTGTAGGAGTACATTTCGAATGTGGTTATAAGAACAGAAATGGTATCAGTCAAGGTTCAGTTGCAGGAAATAGCAACCACTCTATTTTAAACAGAGGGTTTTTAATACAGGGAGTTAAGTGCTTACAAAGTTGAAGGTTGGACAAACAAGCTCTGGCCTGGGCCTCCAGAAATAACTCCCAGATGACACTGCTCAACTGTCCTTCCAGGAGAGCGGCTCTTGTGCCACAATAAGAGGTGGGCAATCAGGAGGTTATCCTTGAATCTGCCGAGTTTGAGAGTTTATTGCCATCACTGTGATCCAGGGATCAGAAAGTGGCCATAACTGCCCTCTAACACCTGCAAAGCTGGGGATAGGACATCAGACAATGGCTACAACAAAACTCAACAGCTAAAATGCAAGAAGATACCCTTTACTGCACTCCTATCTTTGAAATCTACTAGTACCTGGAATTGATGTAATCTAATTTGTACTAGAATGAGAGCTGCAAGGGACCCTGAGAATTATAGTGTTTAGCTTCCAGGCTCTGTCATACAGGAAGGCACACTGGAAGGCATTTGGGGATTGAAAGGCCATTTAAGATTTCCACCACAAGGTACAATATTAACTAATGTAGCATGGAATTCCTATGGCTGTGAGACTCTGTGGTCTGTGTCCCAACGCAAACCATCACCTCAATTATTGGACAGCAGTCTCCAGT